GAGGCACAAGCTGCTACAAGGGCGGCGTTCTCACTGCTGGCAGGCGCCGGGACAAGGAGTTACAAGCTGAAGCGACTGCAAGGACAATTTGCTTTAGACACGAGGAGAGCGATGCGCTGGGACAGACTGCCCGGGCAGGCGCCAAGGCATCGCCGGAGGGCTCCGAGAGGGATAAACACCCACCAGAGCCGATCCGGGGAGACCCGCAGCGCCCGAGAGCCCCAGCCAGGGCCGGGGGGAGGCAACGTCCCGGGCGGCTCCTCTGCCGGGCAGTTCTGTAAGGAAGGGCCACATCGGAACCCAGGCTGTGCTGTCACACCTCTTGTCCCCTCATTAACAGCAACAATCATAAGCTGCCGTAAAGTATAATTATACTACACCGCAGCGTTCGATTCATCAGGCAATTACAGCCATTAATAACGCACCCCAGCCTGACGAGCAGAGCACGCTCGCAGCTCGGTGGCCTTCCTTTCTCAGCAGACCGCTGACGAATGCCACAGCAGATCAGAGGAGCCATTTCTTGCGTACTGCACGGTGTTGAGCGTGCGTGACATTTTCCATCAGCAGCAGTTACCATTAGCAAAGCTTTCGCCTGATTAGCGCGGACTCGTGACTTTCGTCTTCCCCGCTGCGTTTCAGGGCCGGCAGCCGCGCCAGCTCGCCTCGCAAAGCCCCCGAAGTCCTTCACACAGACATTGCCGGGGAGGACGCAGCACGGACTGATGACAGTACGCTTCAGGCAGAGGAAAAACACCCCAGACGCAGCCGCGCCAACGGCCTCACGTGCTGGAGCCTTCTTCAGAGCGCGCCTGGGCGGGAAAGGCTCCACGGGCAGACTGGCCCCAGTCCACGCACGGGGGCAGAGCCGCTGGCAGGTCGTCGGTGCAGCACCGCGGGACACGGCCAGCTTGTGCTGGTTTATCACGAACGTACAGGAACGGGGCGGGAAAAGGAAAAATCCCCCAGCAGAACACCTTTCCCCTCTCTACCCTTGAAGTTTTGTTTCAGGAGACCAACGTGCTTTATAAGCAAGGGCGCAAAAGAACGAGGCGAAGGGATATTAATTTCTCCAGCTTTCTCCCTAAGTGAGGAACGGTAAATCTTCCGCGTGTCCTGCCCATGGCACGGTGAATCCATCACGCCGTTCAAAAATCCATTCAGGAATGCAGGAAAGGGGGGAAATTTCTTTTATTCCTCTTTTCAAACAGCCACCGCGGACACCGGTGGCTGCTCCTCATGCCCACGGGCTGCCACAGACAGCAAGTCGCTGATCTTGTGCGAGCTTTTCCTTCCTTGAAAAGCAGCAACGCTTGCCGCTTATTACAAGGGAACTAAAAATACCTGCACGCGTCCAGCTGGACCATGAGACAGAAGCAGCTCAGGCCAGAGACCGGCCTGGGCTGGACCCTCCCTCGCCGGCCAGGCCCTGCGGCCAAGAGCCCCGGAGGTGCCAAACCTGGCCCGGCCGCCCACACCAAATTCACCTTAAAAATTCGTTTGAAACTCCTGACAAAGCACTAGACACTATTTCCTTCCCCAACCCGGTTTCAGCAGCGTCACCCCTGTGAGGGCAGGGGATACAGGCGGTAATCACCCATCACCCCCGTGGAGCGCAGGCGGTGCCGGCGGGGGGCAGAGCGCGGGGCATCTCCCCAGCACCGCAGCAGCACAGAGCCGGTCCTGACACTGCTGTCAGAAGCAGAGGGAAATAAATTGAGAAGGAAACTTAGCTACAGCGCAAATTTACGTTTCTGTCAAAGAAGAGTGGCTGACGGCTATTTTTGGAAACTGGTCTCCATCATATTAATTCAACGTCTGGTTGAAGTTGTCTCATTTACAGCAAATCTGGCTGGTAAATATTAACCTTGGGCTTTGTTGAAATTCTCCTTGCAGATAGTACAAGGGATTGGATGGAAAAGATGAAGCAGAAAGAGACAACTTTACAGCAAATGTCAGACAGATCCTCTGCATCACGGTTTCATTTACACAAAAGCTCTGGCAATGCACCACAAAGTAAATGGCACGAAGGGGCCGCAGTTCACGCCTGGTAAAACTAAGGGTAAAAAGACATCAGTGCCGAGAAGCCTACCGAAAACAGAACAGGGATGGACGGGCGATCACCCACAGTGCAACAGGACTTCTCACTTCCCTGCCGCGCATCTGCGGGAAAGAGGTTTTAAGATCAGAGTAAGCACAGGCCAGCACCTGGCTGCAGATCTACGTTAGAGAAGAAAAGCAGTCTAAACGTATTTACAGTGACAGAACCTCTCCTCTGATTTGAGAGCGGATGTTAAACAGATGCTAAAGCTGCTCGGTCCCACCCTAGAGATGGCTGATCACCAAAATGATTCATCAGAAACGTGCACACCCACGGACGGCGCTGGGGCGCGCTGGGGCTTCTTCGCGGGAGCGCCGTGCCACAGGAGGATGGACAGGGAAAGGCTTTCCCGCGGCATTAATTAGCGGTGCCATAAATCCTGTTGGTCTTTTTTTTTCATCTCTCCTAATTTCAGGGTGAGGATACAAATGTTCTCTCAGCGGCAGGATGATTTCAGCACTTAAATCACGGTTACAGAGACACTGGCTTTGTGATTTAGTTCAAACAGCTTCCCCGGTTCAGCGGGAAATACAGCTCGTACCTCCCGCAGCGGAGCCCCCACCTCCCGCACCGTGCGGGCGCTGCCGAGCGGGCACAGCCCTGCCCGCGGCCCCCGGC